TCAGATGGCAAATAGTCATCCATGCATCTAACCGACAACTTAGGTGTTAGTATTGCCTTTTGCCTTTTCTTGTATTCAAATGGACGAGAATAATTAGGCAATTGCAAATGTATCTTCCAGAGAATGGAGGAGAGATCGGATGCGCTGAATTGTATGAGCGGATAAAGATTTATCATAAATATGACGGCACAAAATTGACTCACTTTGAGAGAATTGTCAGCGCCCAACCATCCACCACAATGTCCTGCGTGGCAGCCAGCAAAGTGAGCCCGAAGAAGGCGATCGTGAGGCGATATATGTCCACCGGCGAGGTGGAGCCAAGACGGCCCCAAGGGTCACCGGGCGGCCGGCCCAACCAATAATCCACGTGGTTGGACAACACGAGTAGATCAGCGCCCAGGGCCAACTGGATGGGCAACAGCCAAGACTTACGACGACCCATACGGGTCGAGTAGACGGCGTCGACTAAAGGCGCCCAGGCGAGCTTCATGGCGAACGGCCAGGTGACCCAAGAGAAGGTGGCTTGCAGCTGGTAGCTGGCGGTGTTCGTCTCGGACTGGAGGATGTATGGCACTGCAGCGGCCAGGCCTATGGGAATCCCCTGAAGGCGATGACACCAGCACAGGGGGAAAAGAAAGTGACTACTCACCAATAGCGTTGGAAATGCAGCATGACGATGGTGTCGTGCAGTAGCGTTCTTTCCAACTCAACTAAAGGTGATCTAATAAGAGCGAACTTGAAAGTAACCAGCCTCTTACAGAAATGTGGGTCAGGGTTAGGGTCTTGTTGTCAGGGCGACTTGGTAGAACGCACCTAGTCCGAAGTATTCTGCCAGAGTAGTTGTCTTGATTCCCAGCATCTGACAGTAGTCGACTTGATACATTCTCAGACGTTTCGCCGGCATCGTAGTCGGCATCATCAGTGAGCCTAGCCATTCTCCGCACCAAGATACAAACTCGTCTCTTAGGTGGTTCTACCATGTCGCTCTGACAACAAGACCATGTTGTGACAACGAGGTCAACCCACTTTTATAAATCGAAAGAAGGCAAAAGGGCACACATGTTGACGAGTGGAATGTAAACAAGTGAGAAGTTGTGATAGAGCGGCAGTGGGATAAGAGTATAAAGAGTAGATAGATAGACAATGAAAGAAAGAGGAGTGATAGTCGAAGGATTTAGTTCACTTGTCCCTTTGACGAGTTTGTAGCTTGGTTACGAGGATGGTAGAACTCACTGATGATGCCGACTACGATGCCGGCGACACGTTTGAGAATGTATCAAGTCCACTGTCAGATGCTGGGAATCATGACAACTGCTATGGCAGACGACTTCGGACTAGGTGCGTTCTACATAGTCTTCCTGAACACAAGACCAAGTTGCGACAACGAGGTCAACCCACTTGTATAAGTCGAAAGGAGACTGCGACCATAACAGAGGCCACAACATCTTGGTCTTCATATATTCTATTTGAAAGGGAAATTTTATCACTTAAGATAAGTCATCTGCATCTCGTGACTGCATCCAACGCCATCTCGCCTGAGTAACTGTGTGAACTAGTTTTGCAGTAATGGGGTTGGGCGCTACACATGTATGGCCTCATATCACCCCTAGTGGAATGAAATTGGGTAGATAGGTTAAGTTTCAATGCAATTTAATCAAGATGCTTCTTGTGACACCCCTTGTTGTCCGTTGGTGACTCCGTAAACCAGCGATAGACTTGCATCCTTCTTGGTAGTAAACCACAGATTGTTGGGAAAAGCCAATTGCCACTGGAATATTCAACATCGGCCCAATTGTATGACACCTTGGAAGTGGGCACATGATTAGCCAGAAAGCATACCTGAAGGTGCTCTTGCAGCCTGGACAGCAGAAAAATTCGTTCTCATTCGTACATTCAGCCTCTAGGAAGCGTCCTGACATAAATGTTCAGTGAAAGAGTCTTTTACCTCAATATACTCATGATCAGGTACAGCGATTCGACAGAAGCCTCATTCGTTTGTATAGGCACGAATGCATGGCTCGCTCACGATGAGACCATCTACTGTAAAACTGATGCGCCAAGAATCCAGTCTATTAAGGACGAATCATGAACTATGACATCTAAATACGTCCAGAAGAGGACATTTAATGGCATACTCTAGCTTGTCCGCGAACTCCATCTCCTTCGGCGTAAGCGGTACTCTAAATAGGCTTTCCGTCAGCTCAATACACCCCTTATGTCCATTAAAATTTACATAGGGCAAAAGTTCAAGAAATATAAAATAAAATTTTAAAAAATACTAATGCATATTGGTATAATGACATTCTCTGGGCTGAAAAAAACCAAAAATTGCTTTATAAACAAATATCCCTAGCTTGTGTACTAAGATCGTGCAGTCTCTTAGACGGGAAAAATATGAGGATGACACATGGATGGAATGGATTTGTAAATCCGCTGTGCTGATTAGTTCGAAAAATTACTCCGCTCACCGTCCTGCGAAGCTTCGATGAGCGTGTGCTGAGAATTCGTCTGTACCGCGGTGATAGGCGTCATTAGAACAAGAATTGATGCATTACGAAATGGAGCGAAATATACAAATCAAAGAGAAAATATGTCCGGCTACAACTCTAATCTCACCTTTATACACCAAGATACTCAATGTTAATGAGGCCTCCCCTGATTTGGTTGGCTACTTCGACCTTCCTTTACATGCTTGCAAATGAATGAAGTTAATTTTCAGAACCGGAGGCGCGTTCGGTGGCAGCTGTTTCATCACACAAATAAACTAGTATACGATCCTATAATGCTGAATCATGTTTGGGCTTGTGCTATTGTCTATTGTGTGCATGTGATGCTCATGTCATGGGAAATGTGATAGTCCTAACCAGACTCGAGGCAAATCCAGCCTCTCTTTCTTGATCAAAGGCTCTCCTGTACCCCCTCTTTCTCTCTTTCTTTAAGTCTATCCAACAGACACAAAAAATTCCTACTTACTTTTCTACATTTGTTCGTCCTATTCAGGACGTTGGCTGTTTTGTTAATTTCAATAGACTCCCCAATCTTACGCTTTGACCTAAAGTCCCCGTAATCCACAAAACGCTGTATTTTGGATCAGTCATTTGAGTGTCCTGTATTGGTAAAATGTGTTCAGCGAGCTCAGATTTATGGACCAACACAACTTTACAAACGGTTTTGTGTTCGCTTGAGAGGCCCATTCATAGTCTCTTATAAATAGGTCGACAGGTCTCCTCCACATATACCTTACCACATTAGCACAGAACCTTGTAACAGCCTGATCAAGAAGGAGGGTTTGAATATTCTCTAAACGAAGGAACTACTAAAGAAAGTGTTTATTTCTCTGTACACATTGTTTTCATGTTCCAGTTCCTCAGTGAATCACCTAACTTTTTTGAAAGCTGACAGGAAGGCAGAATCAAGACCTGACAGCAAACTCACATAATCATGTTAACTACAATTGATGCGTAATTGTCCACTAATCCTAATGGGTAATTGTTTTGAAACAATATATCCCTCAATCTAACAATCTCCTGATCCTTTTGGTTTGCATCTGTTAGACACAGACTCCTTATTATCATAGACTCCATAGCTTCTACTTTTACATTATATGTATGGTTCGAGAATAAATTAATGAAGAAACCCACGTGAGTGATTTAGATGCATTAGATGATGATGCAACATATAAGACTATAATTAGGGACCCGACAGAAAGCTTTAAGGTCAGATTTAAAGGTCTTCTGAAACGATGTGCAAACAGTGGGGAACTGAAAAAGTGGAAAATGAATGCACTTCCCCGGCGATATACTAGACCCTTAATGCGTTTGGCTTGCCCAAAATCCATAGGCAAGGAACTCCACTTAGGATTATTGTAAATAAACTTTAATGCAGCTTTATTAAACTAATTGATTATCAAACAATAGAAATAGGAGATTTGCCGGTAAGTTTCGATAAAGCGTCTATGCACATTAACGTTCAGATAAACAAGGCAATGAAATCGTTAGAATTAACTCTAGATCAGCACCCTTAAATAAAAAACAGGTAAAGGATTAAGCAAAGGATCAAAAATTAGATCAGTGAATTTGGCAATGAATAATACATATTTTATTTTCAATGATAAGTTGTATGAGCCGAACGAGGTTTGGCTATTGGATCTTGTTTGGCCACTATTTTAGCTAAAAACTGCATAGAAGTTGTTTGACCTTGTTTTCGCAACTCGGTCATATTGGTAGGAAGACTTAAAGGAACGCAC